GGGAGGAGGTGAGCCCGTGGCCTGGGACTCCCTGTGGATCCCACAGAAGCTCAGCAGGCACTGCTTGTCCTGCCACTCAAGCCTCTGTGCCCCTGCCGGGGAGCCAGGCTGCCCAGGGAGCCCTGCAGCCCCACTCCTGGAGGGCAGGTGCCCTCAGGCCTGGTGAATGGAGTTGCAGAGCCTGACGTGCCATAGGCCACCCCCCTCCCACCAGCTGGGTACTAAGACCTGCTGTACACCCAGCATGGTGTGGGCATGAAAGAGGGGAAAGAAAAAGGGAGCGAGGTCCCTGTCCTCATGGAGGTTGTGACTGCCAGTGAATAGACAGGAATATGTCGAGGGCTGGTAAATGCTCTGAGGAAAAATAAGACCAGGCAGAAAAGGCAGCAGTGGTGCCGTGGGGTGCTCTTCGGGAGACCAGCGGTGGACCCTAATTAAGTGGCTTTTGAGCAGAGACCTGAAGGAAGCCAGGAGGAGATGTGGGTATCTGGGGGAAGATGGTTGCCAGCAAAGGAGCTGGTCAGTGTGAAGGCCCCAGGGCAGGAGCATGCCCATTGTCTTTAGGGAGCAGGAAGCAAGAAGGCCCGCGTGACAGAAAGGACCCAAGCAGCAGGGAGTGCGGGTGGGGGTCATAGCAAGGCAGAGACATGACAGGCCAGGCAGGGGCCTGTGAGTCTCAGTGAGGTAGGGAGTTTGCCCGGGGGCATGGCATCCTCTGTGGAGAGCAGACTACAGGGCTGGGGGCAGCAATGCAGGCCCAGCGGGCAAGGGGGGCTGCGGGAAGGGGCTGGGCACTGGGCCTCTGTCCAAGGACCCAGTGCCTGGAGTACGGTGGCAGGGTGAGGAGAGCAGGCCGGAGTCCACACTTTCACCTGAGTATGGGGGCCATGGAGTGGCCATATGTCAGAAGCCAGAGATGGGGGAAGCCATCCAAGGAAGCCGTGGGTCCGCATGTTCCCCATGCAGTTCCCTTTCCTGGGCACAGCTTTCATGCCCCTCTGCCCCCCAGCCACCCCTATGCCACAACTGCTCAGAGCTGCTCCTTTCCAGAGCCCACAGCGCTGCCGCACCCTGCTCCTCCGTCCCTCTGGAGACCAGGAGTCTTCCTGAGCTCTCCCTCTCCCTCCCCTGCCCTGCTGGGGAGCATTTTCCTTCCCAGTTTTCCTCCTCCTTTTGTTTCTCTCTGTTTCCCACTCCACAGAGCAGGAGCGATCTTCTAACAGTGCAAAGTGGAAGGTGGCATTCCGGGCCCACGCCCTGCTCCCCATTGCTCCTTCCCTTGGTGGATGTCACCTGCCTGGGCCACAGCTGGCCCTGCCACCCTTCAGCCCACGGTGGGCCTCAGCACCCTCTGTTCTTCCCTCTGTCCTGGTTGTGGCTTCTTCTCCTCCAGCTGGCCTGGGCTCTGACCTGCCTCCTCAGGGAGGCCCTCCTTGGCCACCCTGGATGAATTAGGTCCCCCAGTTGTTTGCTGTCATAGCTCCTGTGCCTTTTTCTCAGCACACCTCCCACAGCTCTGTAATTCTGCATTTGTCAATGGATGGTTCCTTTAGCACCTGTCATCCCCGCCTGGCGGTGCACTCAGGAGGCCATGCTGCTTTGCTGTCCCTGTGGTGCACGGAGGAATTAATAAGGGTGTTGCGTGGACACATATCCTTAGTCTCAGCCTTTCCTCGTGGTAGTGGAGGACCTCTGCTGAGTGAGTCCCTAGATTGATAGAGTCTCTCAAAGTTGGCTAAAAAAAAAAAAAGCTAAAAAAAGTCAGTTTTCCCACTCTCAGGTTGGTAAACCACCTGCTTTCCTTATTTGTAATGTTTTAGTCCAATCTTCAGTCTCTGAGTGTCTCTGTCTTGGAGAGTGGCTGCCGAGGACGTGGTGATGCTGTCTCTGCTTGCCCTGTGAGAGCCTTCAGGATTGCCTCACCAGCCTGTCCCCATCTCAGTCTGCTGCACAATTTCCTGTCTCGGACCTTAAAATCTTGATCTGCACAGTTATTTGTCTGCTCTTCACAGTACCCTCACATGGCTTCTTTTTTATTCCAGTCTTAAGCACACAAGGCCGGTTGCCGAGATCAGGCTTGGAATAAAGCTGCCTGGTGGGGCCTAGTGGGTGGGCCAGCCTCGAGGGTACAGGAAGGCTCAAACAGAACACACTCCACCCGTCAGGGCTGGGGTCCTGGCTTGCACCAGGCCAGATGTGATGGTGCCTTGAGGTGTCTTTCCATTTCTGGAGCGATGGCACACCTTGGGAGAGCCCTGTCACAGGGAGGCCTCTCCTGGGGAGCACCTGTGTGGGCACTAAGGACACAACAGGAGGTTGAACCCTGGCCCCATCTCTGGGTTAGGAGAGACACAAATTTGACAGGCAGATATGTCAGTCTTGTACTGCCATGTATTGGAGAGGATGTGTAGCAGTGGCCTTGTGTGCCCAGATGGCAGAAGCTCATTATCCTCCCCTGACCCCAAATCCCCGTGCTCCAGGCCCACCCCAGGTCAGATTCTCAGGAGAATGCAAATTCATCCAAGGTTTCCCAGCTCAGACCTGGACGTGCCCTCCGATGCGCAGTGATAGAGCCTGGATGGCGCCAGGCATCACCTGCAGTGGTGAGCTCCGGGTGTCTTTGCTGTCACCACTGCAGCATGCTCCTTGTGGAAGGCTCTGATACCTGTGCCACCATGAGTTGTTGGCTGGCATACGTGCTGCATGTGTGGTGAGCCTGTACACACCAGACGCTGATGTGTAAAAGGAAGGGGCTGTACCCCAGTCCCAGGCAGCAGGAGAGCACACGGGCAGGTGGCAGGTGGGTAGTGTTGGAAGCCTTGGGGTGAGGGCTCACCGGGGTTCACTGTGTTGTAATTGCGGAGGCGGGGCTGGCCTGTAAACAGCCTGGCAATGTGAGAGGCCAGGTCGGAGGAGCTGGCTTGGCCTGGAGGGACAGGGAAGCCCTTCCCAGAGGTGCTGTGATACTGGGGTTAGGGATGGACATGGGGCTGCCGAGACCCCCTCAGAGAGGCAGAGCACAGAGACAACCACACCATGAGCAGCCCTAAGGTGGCAAGCTCGTGGGGCAGGGAGGCAGTGCTGGAGGCCAGATGGGGCCCGGCCCTCTGCGGAGTACCCACCGGGTGGCCGAGGGGTCCCAGGGTCTTCATAGAACTTCACGTGATCCAAGGATCTTCCTGTTCCCAAGAGCTGTGACCAAAGGGTGTGAGAGTCACGAGGCAGAAGACAGGACAGGAGTCAACAGGGACAGTGTGACAAAGATACGCATTTTAGGCGGGTGTACGGGGGAGGGGCTCGGCTGCCTGCCATGACGGGCACCGCGTAAGACGATATTCTCCAGTCGCTCAGCGTCGCATTCCTGAGAGTCGTGTGTGCCCTGCCTTGACAGACCATCTCGGAGATGCTTTATGTTTCTGTTTGATTGATCTTGGCTGTGGCTTTTGACACTGTGCTTCTCACTTTCCCTGCCCTCTGACCCCTCGGGTAGGTCGTTAATGATCTTTAAACAAACACTGGAGCGTGATGACTCTCGAAAGGCCCGGCTAGCGCCCCTGAGCATGCTGGGCCCAGCACCCGGGAGGAAGGGTGTAGACGTGGGTGCTGCCAGCCAGAACGTCAGCATACCCTCTGCTTTCGGTTTTTTGGTGGCAGGTTTCTGAAGTAAGCTGCACTCCTCTGCTTTGTTACATGGAAACCTGTAAAAATTCTGCTTCGTCATAGAGAGCAGATCACAGTTGGAACGTTCATCCACTCATGAACGTTTATTATGGGCTTTGCTGTGTCTGTTCCTGATTTGCAGACTCTGGAAGCCGAAATCTACCAGGTGCTGTCGTCACTGTTATCTTGCAGAAACCGAGATAAGATCAGGTTACCCCTCTGCCTAAACGGCCGCGGGGTAACTTCCGGGCAGCCCTGTGTGGGGCTGCGCAGGCGCCCAGGCCTTGACCTCCCCCTGCAGCAGCCCTCTTGCCTCTGTTTACTTCTTGGCCGTAGCAAGCGTCTCCCACCTCAGGCCTGGCCTTTGCTGGTTTGTCCCCTTTGAAGTCCCTTTGCTGTGGGTCTCCATGAGGTGCTACTGCTTATGCACAGGTCCTAGCTCAAGCATCACCTGTGTAGAGGCCTCCCCACCACTGTCTGCAGATGCCAGCACTGCCCAGGCCCCAGGCCTGTTCTGTGGCACATCCTGGGTTGTTCTCTCATGGTGAATGCTAGATATGCTGCATGTTACATAATTGTTACTGATATAAATCCATATTAATGTAATAATATAATTTTTCCTCTCAACATCACTTTGTTGTCAGCTTCTAGATATTAAGCTCTTGGGAACCAAGCTTGCTCTGTTCTTTCCCCTGGAACAGGGCTGGCCTGACACCCATAGCAGGTCCTTGGGGAATATGGATGGCTCAGCTGGGGAGGGACCCTGCCACCTGGCAGTCTAGAGGCCAGCAGGCAGGCGATAGATGCATATCAGACAGTGACTGTGCTGTCGGCTATGTGTCCTTCACGAGAGCTGGGGGCTGCTACGGAGACAGGGACAAGTCCTGCCCACTGGGGCCTGGACACGCTTTCCAGAGCAGTGGCCTGACCTGGGCTTTATAGGGCAGGGGTACAGCCTGGCAGGCTGAGGACATGGGAGGCTGGGCTGGGCAGCAGCACCTGTGCAGAAGGCTAGGGAAGCCAGAGGGACTGGAGCCTGGGTGGAGTGGGGACCAGCAGGAGGGAGAGATGAAGACGGCCCAGGGCAAGGCCTGGCCCTGCCGTGGTGGCAGCTCTGGGTCTTCAACAGAAGGTGATGCCTTGAACAGGGTGATGCCTGTTCTATCCAGTGAGTGTTGGGGTGGCCTCTGGCCTCCTTTCAGCTGGTCAGCCCTGTGCCCTCTCCCGCGGCCAGGAGCCAGGTGGGGATTGGGGAGCACAGGGATGGGGAGTGTCCCCACTGGAGCCCTCCCACCCCCAAGGCCTGCTGGTTTCATGCTGTCTCTCTTGCTCCTGGTCAGGTAGTGAAGAAGGTGAAGTCCATGCAGATGTTCCACACACCCGTCACCTCGGCCATGCAGGGAGACCGGCTGGGCATCTGTGTCACCCAGTTTGACCCCAAGCTGCTGGAACGTGGGCTAGTATGTGCACCCGAGTCACTGCACACTGTCCACGCAGCCATCATCTCCGTGGAGAAGATCTCATATTTCCGGGGGCCACTGCAGACCAAGGCCAAGTTCCATATCACAGTGGGCCATGAGACGGTCATGGGCCGCCTGCTGTTCTTCGGCCCTGCGCCCAGCAGCTTTGACCGCGAGCCTGTGCTGGACTCCTTTGACTTCTCTCGCGAGTACGTCTTCCAGGAGCAGTACCTGTGCAAGGACGCAGCACCAGCAGTGGTAGACAGTGATGAGAACAAGCAGACAGGCCAGGCCACAGAGGACTGCTGCCCCCAGCAACAGTGGGCCCTGGTGGAGTTCGAGAAGCCCATTACCTGCCCGCGGCTGAGCCTGGTCATTGGCTCCCGGCTGGACGCGGACATCCATGCCAATGCTTGCCGGCTGGCATTCCACGGGCTGCTGCTGCACGGGTTGGAGGACAGGGGCTACGCAGAGAGCATCCTGCCCACGCTGAAGGTGTACAAGCTGAAGCACAAGCATGGCCTCGTGGAGCGGGTGAGCTGTCCCTGTCTGGTGACCCAGTGCGCATACCACCCTCCACAGTGCTGGCTGGCTTCTGTTCTGTCCCACAGAGCCAAGGCCTACCTCCTGCCCTCCATTGATGCACGTGGTGAGGGTCCCCACAGGCCTGAGCAGGCCTGGCCTCTCCTGCAGCCAGTATCACATGGCAGCGTTTGGCCTCCAACCCAGCCCCAGTTCTCCTGCCCTCAGAGGCACTGTGTCCCACCAGGCGGGAGAGCGGCGTGTCTTCACGCCAGCTGCCCACGTCTGGAGACCACACTGCCATGGCACAGGCCAGGCCAGGTCTGTCCTCGCCTGCAGAGCAGGGAAAGGGGTTAGAGAACAAACAGAGGGACATCAGGAAGGTGACGCAGTGGTGGGGGCCATGGTCACTGGACAGCTGGTGTCCCCTGAGTGCACTATCCCTGGATGCATGTTTAGTTTCTGGGCCTGACATTGGGCAGATGTGACTCACAGTCCATCCCAAGTGCTGGGGTCCCCTCCTAGCAGGCGCCCGCCCCTTATCTGTCCTGCGCTCTGAGCAGGGATTGTGCCTACCCGACCTCACTGTCCCTTGTGAGTGCCCCCTGGCTGGGACTCGAGTGGGACAGGGACGGCTGTGGGTGGTCCTGGGACTTGACTAGGCATTGCCACTCTGAGCACAGGGCTCTGGAGACCCCAGTGCTTGGGCCCCAGCCATGGTAGGGTCCACCCTAGGCCTTCAGCAAATGCCACCCCTCTTCCCAGCCCCCTCAGTTGCCACATAGTGTCTGCCCTCAGGAGTGGGTGCTCAGGCCCCCTCCACACACACACCCCCGGTCCGGCAAGGCTTCTTCTGCCCCTGTCCTGTCCTCTCCCTCTCCTGCCCTTCCGCCGCCCTCAAGAGTGAGGCCTACGCCCCATAAGGGTGTGGGGCCTGCCCAGGCCATCAGTCTTAGCACAGCCCAAGATGCTGATTGAAGATGGTGATGAAGTGTGTGTTCCTCCTGTGTGCAGCTTGAGCGACTAGCAGCACTGGGGAGTATCATTATTCTGTAGTAAAATACGCCTGTCCCTCTTGGTGTGGCTCCAGGCCTAGTTCCCTTGAGGCTTAGCCATGGCGGTGCAGTGTCTCTTCCTTTGAGAACCAGGAGGGCATCTGTGAGGAACAAGTGAACAGACCTCCATACCTACCAGGCCTTCAGGGAGGGGGCCAGGAGACCCCAGTCTAGGGCAGCCCTGGGGCATCCAGCCTCTCTCTGCTCAGTCTGGGGAGGCCTCTCTCTGCTCAGTCTGGGGAGGCCCATGAGCCCTAGACTTGCTGTCCACAGAATCAGTGTCAAAACCCCCTATCTTCGACTCTGCACAGCCATTGGCTTTCTCCAGCTGGGGCAGCCTCCTGAAGCACCATGGATGTGTCCCCAGGATGCTGTGAGCCCTGCATGGGGACAGAGGGGCTTTCTGAGACACCCTGAGGATGGAAAGTGTGGGGATGCCCAGCCTCTTTGGCCTGAGTTGATGTCAGGAGTGGCCTGCAGCCTGTGTGTTCCCCTCCAGGCCAGGGAAGGAATGAGCCAGCCTCCTGCCGCCCACCTCCGCCCCCATTTCCCCACCTGTGTATTAAACACCTGTGTATTAAACACCTACTAGGTGCCTTTGTGAGCTACATTTTTCTTTTTCCAGTACTAGGGATTAAATCCAGGGCCTCATGAGTGCTAGGCAAGCATTCTACTGCTGAACTACACTCTGCCCTTGCATCCATTATTTCTAACTCTTGTGATACTCTGAGAAGGAGGAGGTCACTTTTCTAGTGTATATATTTTTCCAGTTCTACAACTATATATGCACAGAGTTAGAAAAAATTCAAACTCAACCCAAAATAATTCAGTGAGAGTAAATTCTCTTCCTGCTTTGAGCCTAGGCCAGCAGGTCCTTGCCTCACAGGCAGGAGAGCAGCCCAGGAGGTGCAAAGCAGGTTGTTCAGGGCCACACGGTGACCAAGGCACTGACGGCCTCTGTGTTGGGGAGAGCTTTACCCAGCATGTCAGGAGATTTTTGTCCTTGAGAAGCTGGGGTCTCCTTGGTGGGGAACTTTCCTCCTGGCAAGGTTGGCTAAGCGTTGAACTCGGAGTCCCACAGTCCAGACTTAAATCCTCACCAAACAAGGTAACCGCTATGTGACTTGGTAACCACTTCACCTCCATTTGCTCATTCATCTCGAGGCGGATGGATGGCTTCATCTGTACAGCACTGTCCCTTGCTTAGGTGACCAGAGGGTAGACTTCCCAGTGCAGCTCAGGGGTAGCAGGTCTTGTAGTTCCAGGGTGGCCCTGTTTGCTCTGAGCAGGCCCAGACGACTCGAAAGCTTCAGGTCAGTGTGGCCAAGTGGGTCAAACATGCACACTGGGGCCTGGCAGGCCTCGCCCTTCCCCACCTCTGCCGGGAAACCTGGGCAGGTTGTGGGCTCACTGCTCCTGGACGTGCTTTTCTGTGCTCCACCTTGGGGTTGTGTTATGGTGAAATGAGCTTAGATGTAAGGGTCCAAGAACCATATTTGGCTCCTATTATATGCTTGTTTCTATTATTACAAATTTTTAAACTCTGTGGGTCAAAATAGTAAATTCTGGGGCTAGGATCTCCTCTTTTGTGGGGCCCCACTATCCCAGGAAGACACAGGGACCACCAGGATCTCCCGGGGCTGCTGGGAGTGGGCAGGGCTGAGTATCAGGCAGGGACTGGGAGTGGCTGTCCCGGCTCATCTTTCCTGGCGAGCATAGTGTCTCCAGAAGGTCCTGGTGGCACTACGCCCCCCGCCAGCTCCCTGGGCACACCTCTGCACAGAGAGGTGTCTAGGAGGGCAGGTTGCACCACACACAGCAGCTCCCAGCCCACTCTGCTCTCCGGGCCCCTCAGTCCGGGGCCCTGAGCTGTCCTCCATTCATGATGAAGGAGGGTGCACCTGAGGCGGCCCTGGGCACAGGGCCTTCTGTCCTGTTGCCTGGAAAAGGCTCCCTTCACTCGTCATCAGGTGATTACTGAGCTCCTGGTTCATGCCAGGCACTGGGAATACAAGAGGGACACAGTTCTTGTGCTCAAGGGGAGGCCGATAATGAACAGTAAGTTGTTGCTTCTGGTAGAATGACGTCCAGAAAGAAGAGAACAAGGTGCTGTGAATATACATGGCCAAGGACAGCACTTGGTGTGGAGACAGTGCCACTTCTCCAGCCCCTGTTTTGCCGGTCCTGTGCCTTGTTTGGCCTGCTCACACAGTGACATGGTCCATGCCCAGCAAATGCGGCCAGACTCACTGGCATTTTGCAGACCAGATGATGGTCCGCGGGCCACGCCTGCACAACTAACTGTCCTTGCCCCAAATCTAATAATCTTCAACGAGCTTATTTTTTCTGAATAGTTTTTCCAAGTGCTGCAATCAAACACAATTTAATTAACTTAGCCTGGTAAATGGCTTTCTTTGCTCAGCCAACAAATGAGCCACTCAGAAACTTACTTGGGTTGCAGCCCCATTCTCAGTTTTAAATTTTTGTGTCTGCAATGATGAGATATACTGTTTTAAATTTTCTCATTTTTCTGACTATTGTGTTTCTGTGATTTGGGAATATCATGATGTCAATGTGCGTTGTATCCTATTAGCTCAGCTAACAACAAACACAATGCTCTGTGCTGTAAGTCTCTAAAACCAGAATCCACATCCTACTGAACCTTGCAAGTGGATGTTGGAAGTTCCCTGTTTTTTCCCTTACTTTTGACATGACAGGGATGCACTGGTACTGAAATAGAGCGGGGTGCTTGGGCAAGACACTGTGGAGTTAAACGGCATTGCTGCTGCTCACAGTCCCCAAGCTGCTCCTCCCTCTCTGTCTCTGCCATTCAGCTCTGCTGCTGTGCACAAGAAAACCCCGGACAGTACATAAATATGTGGTGCTGTCCGGTAAAACTTCTATGTGAACACCGGTATTTGAATGTCATATCATTTTTATATGTCATGAAATATTCTTTTTAAAAGATGTTTTTCAACTCATTAGAAAATCTGAGGACTATTCTTAGCTCAGAAGCTATACAAAAATAAGTAGCAGGCAGAATTTGAGCCCGTGACTATTGTCTGCTGACCCTGGATTTAAATAGTGAATAAGACTCTTGAAATAGGACAAGCATCCCGCAAAGAAAATTTTGATCACTGTCTGCAGCTTCAAGTAGTCAGCACCTCAAGAATGGGGTCGTGGGTGAGGGGACTTATGTTGATAAAGACAGCCAAGGGAGAGAAGGAGGAAGTAAGGGTGTTCTGAGGGGCTGAGCTTCCTGGGGAGAGGTGGGGAAAGAATGCAGCTTCTGCTGGTGAGGGAAGTAGTTGGTATTGTATTGTTTAAAGTATAAAGATAGAGTGGTGCACCTCTGTAATCCCAGCACTTGAGAGACCAGGCCAGGAGTTTGAGGCCAGGCTGGGCTACATAGCGGGACCTGGTCTCAGAAAACTAACCGCCCCCAAGAAAGGAAAAGAAAGTAAAAAGATAAATTATGTGTCTGATTTTGAACACAGAGAATCTATGAACAGCAGCAGTGTAGAACTTTCACATTCACAGAGAAAAAGCTGGAATAAATTTGATTAGGAAAACAAGAACAATGTTAGTAAATAGGAACAAAAACAGCAAAATTAACTGTCACTCATTACACTAAATGTGAATGGCCAAATTCTACCGTTCAAATACAGAGACTGATAGATTGAGTTAAAACACAAAATCTACTTACAGTGGACCCTTCACTTATGAACTCAATTTCTTCTCAAGGGCTGGTTATAACTCAAGTTACTTGTAAGTCAGGACTGTTTTCCCATAAGAAATAATGGAAATGCCTATAATATGTTCTGAATCCCCCAAAGCACCCCTTAACTAAACTTTTCATAATAAAGAAGGGTTGTATAATGTGTGTAATTTACCAGAAACTCCAGTAATTTTCCTAGTAGTCACCAAAAAGTTATAAAATGTACCTAGTTTACTAGA